GCAATTAACGACTCATTAAAATCTATTTCCCTTGTGGTACAACTAAATCCTAAAATTGAAACTAATTTTAAAAAAATTAATGAAGACAAAGTATGAAAAAAGGAACCTTAAAAAGCTGAAACATGAGAGCCCAGATCAGAATAACTAACAAAAATACTCATTGTGTTTTGTAGGACCACATTTTCTCATTTTTACAGAAAGTACATAGTTTCACGAGGGTAAAAAATCCTTAATCGACACTGAAGGATGAGACTTGTGGTTACTGTACAGAAAAAATCAGCTAGACGGTCTGTTTTCTTGCTTCCTGATGAAAATTTCCGCATTTTGTGGTTAGCTTTTTGAAGGAGGTGATGAATGGTGGCTGGCTGGCCTAATAGAAAAGGAAATTTACGTGCGCGAATATTTCTATTCCGATATGTGTTGAATTTTCATACCTGTTGTTCTTGTAAGTAGCTCGACTGAACAAAGAGTTTTGATAGTCTTGAGTGGTGTTGCTTCAGAATTCAGATTTTTTATTATTGTCATCTGTATAAAGGATGTGATGAAAAAAATTACTTATTGCTATTTTCTACATTTATTGTTCCTAATAAGATCAGGCATGACTGTAAACTTTTGCATGATAATCTCTGGTGAGAACTTGGCAAATTACTACACAACGATTTCGGGCTGTTCGACCGAAAATCTTACTAGAAAAGTATCACAAGAGAAAAAATGTGAAGAATTACTGTTCAGTTCAGAAATAAGCTGAAGAGTCTTATGGTCTCATGTGACACAGTTTTACGACAATTTAATCTCTACAGTGAGTCCAATGGATGGAAAACCAGGTTACCTGGGCACCAATGGACTCTGTCCGGCTAGCATCACGCGCGCTTGTGGGGCCCACGAGGCCCATTTTTTCCTTGCAGTCTTCAGTGTTCTTGATCAGCTATTCTTGGCTCATTTTTTCACTTATGAAAACCAGTAATAGTTTTTGTTTTTTTTCCTTCTTCATAGGGGAAAATGTGTGAGAAGAATTGTAAAAATGCATGTAACTAAAAACTTGAAGGACAGGACAAGTGCTCAACAAATTCTCTTGGAAATTAATGAACTTGAGAGTTGGTCTTTAATTGGAGGAGTGGAATTAGGATCTGGCCAGCTCCTGGTTTACATGCCAAGCCTTTTGATGATTGGCAACAATAATAATTATAACTTCCAAAAAAAAATATTAATAATAATTACAGCTTCATAGAATCACATGTTCTTTTAAGAATCAGTTTAATGGTTGGATCGTCTTGTCATAGTTATTAAACAAAAATACATACTTAGATTGAGAATTGCCATATTGTTTATTTACATTTTTTAAAAATATATCGTTGTTATATGAAAATATATATGTTTATTTTTGTTTTTTTAAAAAGTATCATTTTAAAGTTATTATATTTTAAAAAATTGGAGCAGACCAATCGATCTAATCGAAAATCATTCTTGAATTAATCGATTGCTATTGAACCAATCAAAATCGGTCAAACAGGCCGAAAATAGGGCACATCACACGATTTATTTATTTATTCAAATGTAGCTTTAAATATTTAAATAGACTTTTCAATATAAATAAAAATATAAGTTTAAACATGTTGTATATGTATAATTTATTAGAATAATGATACATTAACGTAATGGTGTTGACACAATGATTGACATAATGATGTGTATGTATTTTGATTTTTGAGTTGTTGATTTTAAAAGTGATGTAAAATCATAAGAAACGAAAGTTAGGAAATAGAAGACCGGTTGGTTCGTGTCATGTATGTTTTATGTCAAAATTCATGTGACCATTATGTTGATATAGTACGACCCAAATTATTATATCAACTATATTTGAATATTCGAAATATCTAAATATTAATTAATAATAATTATATATAATTATTATGTAATTTTATATATAGATTTAAAAATATTATTTAATTAAATACTGATTCAGTTGGTTCAACTATTAATTTGACTTAGTAATCCACTTGTCCAATTATGAAAATCTTAATTCGATATCATTCTTTCTACCTTATAAAACAATCTAGTTGTAGGAAAAATAGCACAATAATAAAAATATTATTTTATTGAAATACAAATTTGACATACGGTTTCTTTATCTTACAACATTTATTTCTATTTTCAAGTAATAAAACTCATTTTTTGTTATCATTTTCTTTTGTTCAAAATTTGTAATATGGATTATCCCCATCTCTCTATGTTCCTTTTCATGGAAAATCCCAAATTTTGATATGTACCAAATCCCTAACCTTAACAACCCCTCTTTCACTATCAAGATCGCCATAACCATATCACATTTCCCTCCCCTGAGAGCGAAAAACTCTTCGTTGCCGGAAAAAGTTTGATAATTTATCATTTATTGTCTGGATACAAGCCAGAATCGGAAAAATGTACAGTGGGTCCAGTGACGGCGAGGCGCCGGCCCAGAGGAAAATTCCGGCGGCATCCTCAATGCTATGGGTTCGTAACCTCCGCCGCTACATCGGATCTGGCGCGGGCCTCGGATCCGAAGCTCTCATGGGTACGTATGTGCTTGCGCAGATGCTTTTTGCACACTTGTAGTTTTTTTGATACATAAATTGTGCTTTTACCTCGTTCAGAGCTAGAGACGAAAAGGATTTTGCTGGATATCTTCAAAGCGAAGCAGCAAAAGAGCGCTGAAGCTGGTACCATCCCGAGCTTCTACAAGAAGGTGGGTATTAAATTGGTCATTTTTATTTTTTATTTTTATTTGGTCTGTTAACTTCCGTAAGTCTTCAGCTGAGCTGCTGTACTTGTGTTCGAATTTCAGAAACCCGAGGAAGGTTCCATAAGTCATAGGGTTCAGAGGCTAGCAAAGTACCGGTTTCTCAAGGTATTTTGACGTGTTGAAATTGTAGATCTGATTTTCCTCTAGTGGAATTATTATATTAGCTAAAGATCCTTGGCTCCTAGTGTTTGAATTTTTTTGTATAAAGCTTTTAGCTTGGTTTAAATTAATCTGCTTGAGCCTTCGAAGGTGGAGGTGGGTTTGTTTTTCTATTAGCTCAGCTTGTTCTGTGCAAATTATAATTTGAACATAACTTCAGCTGATAGACTATCCGGAGTTTCTTGAATTTACTTTATATTTTATGCGTTACTGAAAGATGCTTTTCTCTAATCAGAAACAATCTGATCTTTTGCTTAATGCTGATGACCTGGATGCTATGTGGGTGTGCCTGAGGGAAAATTGCGTCATTGATGATGCAACTGGTGCTGAGAAGGTAGTTGATTGTTCATCTGTACTACCCCATTGTCTAAGAGAATTTGCTTTGTGCTGTGGAAGATAATGAGTGTAGTCAATGAAAAGCTTATGATATTGTGAACTGAATAAAAATTTAATTCAGGTCTCTAAATGGGTAACCTTCAGTCAGTTTCTGAATTATTCAGTCATTGTGGACCATAACATGCTCCCTAAAAATGTCATGTAATTAGTACAAAACTTGTGATAGCTCTATACGACTCTTATTTAGTACTGCTGCATATTTTGGAATTTCTATCTCTGACTTCTGATGGCTAGTTTATCACATTCTGAAGTTCTAAATGAATGAGCTTCAGTTCCTTACTATCTATGATACGTGTATTTCTATGTACTGTTCAATATAAGATGCTGTCAGCTTAGCTTTTAAGAGCTCAAGTTGTTGTAGGAGATGCGTTGGACGTAAATGCTGCAAGAAATCATACATATAATAAAAAGACATAAAAAATTGATAATAAAAAGAAACATAAAATAATTGAAAAATTTATTAATATAATAAGAAACAATAACTTCGTAAATAAAAAAAAGTAGGCTACACTGAGATAATTCTCATTTGTTATCATTTAATTGAAATCTGCGCGACTTTCATTAAATGGAACCTTTAGTTTGGTGAACATATTTAGGTACTGTCATACTTGCTACAATGTGTTATTTCATTTTTCTATATGCTGATGCTTGTTTACAAGTGGTGAAGTGAAATTATACTGAGATGTTGTAATTTTTTTTAGATGAACTATGAGGACTTCTGCCACATTGCTTCTGTATGTACTGAACAAATAGGCCTCAAATGTCGCCGCTTTTTCAGTCCTTCAAATTTCATGAAGTTTGAGAAGGATGAATCTGGAAGAATTTCTATCCTACCTTTCTATCTTTATGTGATGCGTACGGTAAAGCCGTTGTTCCCTCGACTACTTATGGTTGTACTTTTTGAGAAGTACATATCTCTAAGTGGTTCTGTCCTGTATTAATTACAATTCATTATGCTTTAGGTTTCACTCACTCAAGCAAGAATTGATATGAGTGAGCTTGATGAGGATTCTGATGGCTTCCTTCAACCTCATGTAAGTCAACCTTACTTCTGAGGCTATTATCCTGGAATATGGGTTGCAACATTTTATGAAGGCTTCTTAACAGGGACCTCAAATGTACTAATTTCCTTTTCTTCTTGTTTCTGAAATAGGAAATGGAATCATATATCAGAGGTCTTATTCCCAATTTGGCACAATTGCGGGACATGCCTGCTGGTTTTGTGCAAATGTATTGTCGCATAGCAGCACACAAATTCTTTTTCTTCTGTGATCCACATAAACGAGGTTGACATGTATTTCTTATAGTTAGGTTGCAGCTGAAGTATTACCATTTGTTTTATTATTGATCATATAACTTGTTAAAAACAGGGAAGGCATGCATAAAGAAAGTGCTGCTCAGTAATTGTCTTCAGGAGCTAATGGAACTTCACCAGGTAATATATAGTATTATATACCTGATGATCGCTCATCACCTGAAAATTGAAATACAACATTTAAGCAATAATGAGTTTGTAACTTTTAGATACAGGACTAAGTTTAAATGGTAGTTACTAGTTAGGCCTAAATTCTTTGATATCACATTGTACTATGCTAGTCAATTTGATGTTGAAATCATTTCCCTCACTCCTAAATGTTAATATTTCGATTCTCTTAACTTTTGCGGCTTCAGGCAGTTGGGACATCGTTGGTTTTGTATGCTTGTTTTTTTATCCGTTTACGTTTTGCAATATTATTTAGATCTATCTTTTACTTCCACTAGGAAAGTGAGGAAGAGGCTACCGACACTGAACAAGCTGAAAACTGGTTCTCACTGACATCTGCTCAACGCATATGTGGTTAGTGCTTCCTCTGAGGTTTTTTTATTTATGTGCCTGTTTTACATATTGTTATTGGCAAAAACCAATTTAAACGTTAGGAAATTGTGTTTCTGGTACAATTGTTTATGATCCGGATTTACTTTCCCCATCTTCTGGATATTCATTTTGGCTTCATTAGCTAATAATTACTAAACTCCATTTGCAGATATGTTTCTTGCTCTTGATAAAGATATGAATGGAACACTTAGCAAACAGGAGCTTCGAGATTATGCAGATGGCACATTGACAGATATCTTTATTGAAAGAGGTAAAAAATGACTGGCCATCCTACCCCCTGATAGTCATCCTAATTAAGAATGTCCTACCAGTATCAGGGGCAGGTTTTCTAATTAATGCTTTTAAGCATACTTGACTATGGAATTTTTTTGTGCATTATTGATCTCAAATAGTAGTTGGGAGTTGGAGGTATCAGACTGTTACTTCTGTAAACAAGATTTAGTTGTTAAAAAGGAGAAACTCCAGGGTATATATTTTTATTTTGTGATATTTCTTAAAGTAGGAAGATGTGCTATTTGAAGTTTGAACTAAAAATCCATATCTCAACTCTGATATTTTGATTCTTGATTGATTGTAATAACATGTGAGAAAAATTCTTTGTAAGCATATCTATCGGACTTTGTTATTTCTGTAGATAACCCTCTTTTATGGGTTTCCATTTGGAGAAAATCTATCATCAACTGTGCTGTGTTTACAAGTTTTTTTACCATGTTTCCAGTCCAGTTTTACTAAATGTTCTATTCCATCGTTTGACATACAAATGTAATTTTATTGGCTTGTAATGCAGTATTCGATGAACACGTCCGGCGTGGAAAAAGTGGAGGTGGTAATGCTCGGGAGATGGACTTTGAGAGTTTTCTCGACTTTGTTTTAGCTCTAGAGAATAAAGACACTCCCGAAGGGTTAACTTATCTGTTTAGGTGTCTTGATCTTAATGGAAGGGGATTCCTGACAACTGCTGATATCCACACACTATTCAGGTCTGTGGGTCAAAATTACTTCCTTTTCTTACAAAGAAGTGTCCGATATTTTATTTCCTTCATCTATTATACTTGAATTCATTGTTTTAAGCAACAATTCGATGAGGAAGTAGAGAAGGGTAGCTTCATTGTCTTTGAATGCTTCCTGATACAATCTTCCAACAAAAAGATGCTGCAAATTCCTGCTTGTGGTTCTTGAGCAAGACGCACAAGTCTCGTTTTGCCAGTGACATGCAATTCTCATTTTTCTTCAACTCTTCAAAACGCACGAGAAAATGAGAAAAATTTATCAAATTTCGATTTTGATTAAGAAAATTAGCTGATCACAACCACAACAGATTTTGAATACGTAGAAACTGAAAAAATTGTACGTGTTTTTCACATCATGATATAGGGATGTTCACCAGAAATGGATCGAAGGTGGCAATTATGAACTATGTATCGAGGATGTAAGGGACGAGATCTGGGACATGGTCAAACCATCCGACCCATTGACTATAACACTTGCCGATTTACTTGCTTGCAAGCAAGGTGGAACAGTAGCAAGCATGCTTATTGATGTGCGCGGTTTTTGGGCTCACGATAACAGAGAAAATCTTCTACAGGAGGAGGAAGAGCCGGAAGAGGAACAATGAACAACCTACCTCTTGGGGAATTTGTATTCATATTATCTTAAATTGGATATGAATTATGTTCTGCTGTCCTGAAAAATGTAAGGGCTCATTTTTATTTTATTTTTTTTCTCTTTAGGATGATTATCTTCTTTGTGGACAGGAGGACCGTTTGTTGTTATCTGACTTTTGAATGTGTAAACTGAGAATTTGAGAACTATTGATGTATAGGATGATGTATTAATATAGGATTTGTGTTGATATAAAATAGTTGACATTGCCAACCAGCTATATATGGGTATAATTCGATTATTGAAAATTGAAAAAATTATTTTACTGACATCTTGCGGAAGATTAAGGATGAGGATGTAGTAAAAAAATATCTAAGGTTGTGAAAACTCTTTCGCTATGTTGATTAATGGTTAGACAGTTATATTTTCATATGTAAATGTCATATATTAGGATATAATATAAACAAAAGTATGTAGCATTATAATGTCTGGATGTCATATTTCAAAATACAATATAAAGTATAGGACATTCAGTTGAAGTATGCATTTTTTTTCCATAATAAGTACAGTTGTTCAATATATTTTGTGGCTTCATCCCTGCATCAAACCCAACAGAGAGTGGAACAAAAAAATTTGAAATAAACAATTCGAATGCAAACAATAAATCATGCGAAGCCAAAAGAAAAAATTGAAACGCATTTCTTATTCACCAACACTGTAATTCTCTACAAGGCTTTCCGCACCGCCCTTCTCAATGGCAAACGAGTATGGTTTTCGAAAATATAAAATTAAGACTTTCTCTTCAAAGTGCTGTGTGCTGAAGTGAGATTCTACTTTTCATATTGCAGTCAATATCTGGCAACCTCATCACAAATGCCTAAGCTCAAAATTTTTTTAACCTATAATTGCACTACAAACGAGGCTACTTCTAACAAGACAGCAACTTGAATCGAGTGATGCAATTACTTTTCGGTTAGTTCTGTAAAGGCTGGAGTTCTTGCTCGGCAACAACAGAATCAACAGGTTTGTATGCCAGTACTGATTTGTTCCTCCTCCAAATGACCCATGCTCCAGATGCCAATAATCCAGCTACAATCAAAACAATGAATGCCCAAACTACAGCCAAATAATGCTTTCGCCACCAAGTCCTGCACATTAAAAAGAAAA